TGTTGTCATAGACACTGCTGTCTTCGCCACACAACTGAACAAATTCTCAAGAGTGGGAAAGCGCTGCTCGTGATGGATGTAGAAGTTATTTATCACTGATATTTCACACTATCCACGTCACCAGAATGGGGAATATTCCCATATTTCCAAAAGAAAATCTTCACCCCAGTTAGTTTCAATTTTTTAAAGTCTTCAATTTAAAACCTTCCACCTTGTAGCGAACTTGGCCTAGATTTATTACACATATTTTTGCTGGCACCTGAATGAAATATCAATTATTTAAGAAGGAAGAAAAATTGTCCCCAAGCTTTAAATTTTTGAAGGGTGACCCTAAAGGAAAATTGTTATTAAAAAATATTTAAAATGTCGTTCTATGAAAAAATGCTGTTGTTCCCCGGTAATGGTTCGGGGTTCAGCCCCTTTCACAGTCAGGTTAACAGTGTTGATTTTCCCTGCCCCAAGCTGTGTTTATACAAATTTCTGGGAAGTACTGCACACAGCCTGCAAATATAATATAAGTGTTTTTGGTATCAAAAGAACAGGAGAGAAAAACTAAATATAACTTAAAAAAATTAAGTGTAATAAAAAAAAAAAAAGTTTTAAAAAGTAGGGCATGATTCGATTCTTTTTTTCCCAAATCACTGCATATACAGTATATACAGTAATCATTTGAATACAGTACCCTCAAAATCGAACTGCCCCCCAACAGCCCAAATTTATGAAAGTGTATTTTTGTAATGCTTTTATAAGTGATTTTTGAGGGTCTAAAAATGGACTAATTATTTACATTATTTCTGAGGGAATAAATCATTCGGAAAAAGGCACTCAAAACAGTTTTCTGGACTGAAGAAAGTTCGATATTGAGGTTCCACTGTTATCATTAACCCACTGATATACAGAATATACTAATCACTGTATAACAATATAAAATAATCATTGTATAAAAATTACAACAATCACTACATATACGAATACAGAAATCACTGCTTTTACAGTACACACAGGGGAACCCCTTGGACTTACGAGTTTAATCCTTCCCAGGGCTACCCGAAATAAATTTACTCGTATATCAAATTGATTTTTCTTTTAAAATCAATTAAAAAGCCATTATTTCGTTCCCTACTTGGAGAGAGGGAAAAAAATACTTGAATATGATGTTTATCAACAACGCTTATTTATCTTTTCACAATTTCTAATATGACAAATAAAAATTAAAAATTAGACGAACTGATATGTATTCAAAATTGAATAAAAAAGCCATTATGGAGGGGGGTGTGGCAGCGGCAGAAGCGAAAGGCCTTTCTGTCACAATTTGACCATGTTTTTCCCATTTTTTTACTGTAAGAGAAAAGGGTATTTCTGAGGCTAACTGCATTAGATCACTACCCAGGGTTAGACAAAAGAAATTTGGCCCAAAATGAAAAAAAAAATGCAAACAAGTATGAGAGAACTGCCCCTCACAGGATGTAAAAATGTTTACGCTTACCAGCTGTGCCAATAGCGAAACAAACTGAATTTTTTAATATGTATTTGATTTTATTTTTATTATTATTATTATTATTTTTATTTTAAATTTTGGGAATGAATCTATCATTATTATTGTGGAAATTTTTAATTTCTGAAGCTATTTGCCTAATAATTTTAATTTGATTTGGGGCAAAAAATAATTTTGGGAAAAGGAATAGAACAAACAGGGTTTTCCCCCTGCGCTGTGCGGATGTGCGGGGGGAGAGGTCAGACGGGGATGAGGGCGGGAGTGTTTTTGAATGGAGTTTAAAAGCCTGGGGAAGCATGGGGCCGGAAATTTGGGTTTATGGCGGCTAAGGATAATTGGCCTCACTTCATTTAGGAAGTGTGTAACTGTCCCTTTGGGGAAGAGTGAGGAACGTGGGTTTTTTGGGACCACCGTAATAAAATGGTAAAATTAGTGAATAATGGAGGCCGGCGGGGGCTGGGGCGACCCCATGGAGGGTGCCCGGGGAAAATCCCCTTTTTTAATCATCCTCATCGTTTCAGATCTTAATGGAGCGACCTCTAACGGCTTTTAATAATTATGGACAGTAAATCGTCTTTTGTGTTTGAAATGAAATTGTGTAATAACACTAATTTAAAGAGCATGTTAAAGTAAAATAAGTCCCCTTACTCCGAATAAACATGTGGAGTCCTCGTGATTCCTGCCCCGGGATAGTGAATTTTTTTATGGTTTCCCCCCGACTTCTAAACGGGACAAACCAAGGATACCTCGCCTGCGGGAATAAAACCGTGTCGGTGTAGCAGGAATCAAAATGAATAGTGAATGGAGGAAATAAGGAGATCAATCACCCACAGTTAAGTAACCCTTCTAGTTAAGAAAACTGATACGGGCCAGTTAGGCAGTTGTAACTGGATGGGTTTGGGGGGGGTGATCCAGCTACATAAAGTGACCACCGGAATATTGGAAAGTGGTGGTTTTTATATACAAGTGTTTTTTCCTTTGATGGAATATCCATGTGTACCACCTCCCCCCCCCTTCATTCGTTAAAAAATTAAAATCTTTACAGTCCAAAATTAATTAGTAGCCCCGTACTTGGGGTGCTATCCAATTTATACGGGTCTCGGATAAATATGGATAAGACTGTGGGCCGAAGGGACCACTGCAGGGACCAGGGGGGGTTTAAAGTTTTCTCACTGTAAAACCGGGGTGCAGGGTAAACAATAGGTTTTGTCTCCCAAGAGATTATTTTGATGCATATAATGTTGAGGTACATCGGGTAAACCCCCCAAAAAATTTTCCAAAATTACAATTTTTTTTTTTTTTTTATTATCACACGGCCGATTCCCACCAAGGAGGGTGGCCAAAAAAAAAACTTTCACCATCATTCACTCCACCTGTCTTGCCCAAAGGGTGCTTTACACTACAGTTTTTTAAAATGCAAATTAACACCCCTCCTTTAGGTGCAGGCACTGTACTTCCCCTCCCAGGCCCCGTCCGGGGTGCCCGGTTTCCCTGAATCCCTTCATAAATGTTACTTTTTCTCACACTCCAACAGCACGTCAAGTATTAAAAACCCCTTTTCTCCATTCACTCCTATCAAACAAGCTAAAGCATGCCTGCTGGAAGTCCAAGCCCCCCGACACAAAACCTCCCTTTTCCCCTCCCTCCAAACCCCTTTCCCAGGCCGACCCCCACCCCCCCTTCCTTCCCCTACAGACGTCCTCTTGAAGTATTTTGTTTGCTCCTTCTCTCTACTGTCCCCAACCACCTCAAAAACCCTTCTCACCCTCTGGACAAAAGTTTTGGTAAACCCCACCTCCTCCTAACTTTCCAATACGAATTTCTGCATTATATTCACACCACACATTGCCCTCAGACATGCATCTCCACTGCCTCCAGCCTTTCCTCGCTGCAACATTCACCCCACGTTAACCCAATTAAAAGGGGTTGGTAAAATATACTCTATACTTCCCCCCTTTGCCTCCAAGGACAAAGTTCTTTGTCTCCCCAGACTCCTAAGTGCACCACCACTCTTTTTCCCCATCAAATTCTTTGATTTACCTCATCTTTCTGACCCATCGTGACAGTTTCCCCTCCCCAAAATCTGAATATTTTACCCCCTCCATACTTCTCCCTCCAATCTGATATTTAAATTTTTTATCACCCAATTTTTTGTTATCCCTAAACCCTTTCTCTTTTCCCGTATTCACCTTTTTAATTTTCTTCTTTTGCACACCCTACCCCAAAATTTACCCCCCAATCTCTGCAATTTTTCAGAATCTCCAAGAGACGTGTCTCAGAAGAGCACTGTGACAACTCCCCCTTTGTTTGGGGGTTCTTTATCTTTTAAATCCACCCTTTGCCCAAACCCCCGCATTTACTTCTCTTACAACCCCATCTATAAATAATTAAACAACCTGGTGACATCAAATCCTTGTCTAAGGCCACTTTTACTGGGAAAAAATTTCCCTCTTTTCCCACATACTCTAATTGGCCCCATATCCTCGTAAAAACTCTTCACTGCTTTCATAACCACCTCCTACACCATACACTTGCAACATCTGCCAATTCCCCCCCTATCCACCCGCATACCCTTTTCCAAATCCATAAACCCAAAAAGCCCTTTTTACCCTTATCTAAATACTGTTCATTTATATGTTTCCTGTAAAAAAACCGGGTCCACACCCCCTCCTTCCTTAAAGCCTCCTTGTTCATCTGCTAACCCTAATTCTCCGTTTTTTACTTTTTAAATTTCTTTAATTACAACTCTCCATACACTTTACAGTACACTCAACAGATTTATCCCCCTATAAATTTTTGCACTCTCTTTTATCCCTTTGCCTTTATACAAAGGAACTATGCTGCTCGCTGCAATCCCTAGGTACCTTATCCCTCTTCCTACATTTATTAAATATTGCACCAACACTCCAAAAACTATATCCCCACTGCTTTTAACATTTCTATCTTTATCCCCATCAATCCCGGCTGCCTTTACCCCTTTCATTACCTACTGCCTCACGAACCTTCCCCACACTCAAATTGGCTTTCCTCACTACCACAAGATTTTAAATTCCTCTTGCCTATACACAAAATCACAGCTTCCCTATTTCATAATTTTTAAAACAAATTCTCAAAATTTCCTTCATCTTCCCAATACCTCTTACTCTCCATTAATAACTCTCTCTCCTATTTTTAATGACAATCCATTATTATTAATTTAGGAAACGAAGCTCTATCATTATAATAATAATAAAATAATATTGGGTGTGGTATTATTATTATTATTAGTATTATTATTATTATTTATTTCTGTATTAATTTTGGGGAACTGAAGCTCTACCTTATAATAATAATAATAATAATAATAATAATAATAATAATAATAAAAATTTAATTAGTAGTAGTATTATATTGTTATATTATTATTATTTTATTATTAATTTATGGAACTGAAGCTCTATCGTTATTATAATAATACACAGTAGACTGCACTGAAGAATTTCCCTGCACAATTTTAGTAACACCTTGTATAATTAATTTAACATGGTTCAGTTTGTAGGAAGGAAAAAAAATTCTCTTTTGCTTAAGCGGCCACCTTGTTGTGTAGCATCCGGGGAGCCTTCCCACCATCCCCTACCACTCCCAGACTCCACCCCCACCACCCCAGCATTCCAATTCATACATGTCCAGTCCTTTCTCTGTACAAGGCAGCTGTGTTTGTTAATTGCGTTTGTTTATTTTAATTACTATATTTGTATCTGCCAAGCAATCATGACACCCAGTGCCATACTAGTGTTGCTGAAAGTGGCACAAAGAAGTATAATTCTCTGAGCACATCTCCTTTTTTATGTCTGGAAACTTTCCAAAATTTCAAGTGTTTTAAAGTTATTGTATATTTTATATGTATTGTACTTGATAATTAAACTTGTGTACACCTGTACCAAAATAAACTTACACACTGTGCTGGCATGTAGGTACACATTAAAATCACTAAGAGTCTCTCTACTCTTGATGCAATAATAATAATAATAATATAATAATAATAATAAAAATAATAATAAATAATAATAATAATAATAGTAATAATAATAATCTCTTGGGCGCATTAATGTCGCATATTACGTTTAATATAGACTTTTCCCTTAATCTATCTATGATATTTTTTCAAAATTATATAAAAAACACATTATGTAAAACAAACATGATACATGCACCCACATTTAAAAAATTTATACAAATATATACAGATGTTTACAAACGGTTTGTAGAAGTTTTCAGAAGAATTACGTTTTCTCTAGCCCGTCACCTGTTACTAGGGATAACTGTAGAAAAATATTCCTTTCATATCCCTTCACTTTATAGCTTTTAATTCTGTACTAACTTGTACACAGTGTAGGTTTTTGTTTCGTGTTTTAAATTTAATTATAATAATAATAAAAATATTATAAGGTAAAAGTTTCACAAACTCTTACAAATGTACATGAATGAACTAAAACTGGACACGTATTAATACCGTCTATTTGCCTGACCGAGTGATCGTCCACAACCTGTTTCAGTTTTTTTGTTTTTCGCTGTCTGAGCTCGGTTTTATCATTAAGTGTTGTATATTACGTTAATATACACATTTTCATTAAAACCCTCCGTGATTATTTTTTTCAAAATTATATAATAAACACGATACATAACATAAATACATAACAACGTATGTGTAAAGAACCTAGGATAACCCAAAAAAGTCAGAGTGACTTACTTCCACTGCCTCACTCAGAGCATCATTTCTTCTCAAAATGATGTTACATGAGAATGGGAGTGTTTTTCTTTATTTTTTCTACCATATCAGTGTAGAGACAACCTGTACACAATGTAACTTGTACACAAACCAGGGCGTGTACACTGTTTGTTTACTAACTCTGGTTACATAACTCTGCGCCTGTCCTCTCTCATGCATCATTCTTTCTCTCGGGTATGGTAGCCCGGCTGACTACCATACATTACCACACTTGATTTTTTACAATAATACTATCATCTCACCCTTTTTTTAAGGTAAGTAATGAGTGAACTGGGTATACATTTTATCGCTCTGGGATTTGTTAATATCAAAGAATAGTATGTGTGGGTGGGTTTGGCTGGTATGGTAGCCTGGTGACTACCATACATACCCCACTTGATTTTTTACAAAATTACTACTCATCTCACCCTTATTTTAAGGGGAAGTAATGAGTGAACTGTATATACATTTTATCACTCTGGGGTGCTTTAAAAATCATTTGAAAGTATGTGTGGGTGGGTGGCCTGGTATGGTAGCCTGGCTGACTACCATACATACCACACTTGATTTCTTACAATACATACTACTTGTCTCACCCTAGATTAAGACTATAAAATATTTTAAGGTAAGTATGAGTGCACTATGTGTGTATTGTACTTTTTTTATTGTTTTTTGATGCCTGGTTCTATTGCTAACATAATATATGTTAGTGTAAACTTGTTATCTAGTGTTTGTATGCATTTGTAAGGGGAAAAAAAAAGGGTTTTCCACTTTACGGCGGTTTCCGCTTTATGGCGGTAGCCTGGAACCTAACCCGCCATATAAGTGGGGCCCTCCTGTATACCGCACTTGAGAAGAAAGAAGTCCCGCTGGGCATTTTCATTGATTTACGTAAAGCTTTCGATACAGTCGACCATAAACTGCTGTACTCCAAATTAATGGACTATGGTATCAGAGGCCACTCCCAACTACCTAAAATCATACCTTAGTAACAGAACTCAATATATGTATGCAAATGATGCAAACTCTTCCACTCAACCAATCACAGTAGGAGTCCCACAAGGAAGTGCCCTTTGGACCACTCCTCTTTCTCATCTACATCACTGATCTACCAAATGCATCACAGCTACCCCAAACCCATATTATTTGAATGCACTACGTATGTCTTTTCCCACCCAAAACACAGTCATACTAGCAAAACCCAGTCATGCCGAATTGCAGAAAATATCTGCCTGGATGATGACAAATTAAACTTACCCTGAATACTGATAAAACCTATTTCATTCAGTTTGGAAACAAAGCTGCAAATGATCCAATTAACATAATGCTAAATGGATCATCAGTCACAAGACTCACAGGGGGGAAAATTCCTAGGTGTCCACCTTGACAGTAGCCTTAAAGTTCCAGACACGCATACAAAAAAATCACCAAGAAAATCTCCAAGACTGTAGGCATACTATCAAAGATAAGGTACAACGTTCCACAATAAAGCTCTCTGGCACTGTCCCAAATACACTCATATACCCTTATCTTACATATGGAATTTGTGCATGGGATCAACAACATCCATCACCTAAAACCCCTCATAACCCAGCAAAAGGCAGCAGTAAGAATGATAACGAATTCCCACCCCGCCACACACTCCACCATTTTTCAAAAGTCTGAATCTGCTCACCATTATGAATATCCATACTTATTCATGTCCCTTCTACATACACAGAACAATACATGCAAATATAAACCCTCCACTCAAACTTCTCCTCACCACCCCTCAAGGAAGGTTCCTTGATGTTGGTTTGATGGGCTCTTGATTTGGGGAATTGGATCTGTGCTCCAGTTCCCCGAATTAAGCTGAATCCTTCCCATATCCCCCCAGGCACCGTATAATCCTCTGGGTTTAGCGCTCCCTCCTTGATTATAATAATAATAATAATTCTCTTCCCAACTTAAACAGGACACATGACCACAACACAAGACACAGATCTTTTTTTGAATCCCTTGTGTCCATATCACACGTGTAAAAACTCTATGCACATAAAGGGCCTTAAAATAGGGAAATTTCATTACCAGAAGATTTTAAAAAGTAACCCGGTCTGAAAATCAGTTTAAGATTTCTTCTCAAAAGCCACTTAATCACCCTAGACTAAATGCAAAATTTAATTCTGTACAAAACATACTCACCTATGTACTCCCACATCATAACTTCAACAATCACTTTGAACCCTTTATCCATTGTTGACAGAAAATATAATTGAACTATTGTTTTCACAAAAAAGCTTTTAGACTATATGAATATATCCTTTGTCTTATA